GAGCAGTCCGTAGAAGGCAGAAAGGAGTGGGCCTCATGGCCCCCGAGAAAAGGAGAAAGTGACTATTCATGGCTTTTCCATTCCTGTAGGGTTGGGTTTCATCTCTTATACTTGGATTCTTTGGGATTCCAGCATCCTTACAATATGCCCTTTTAACTTGAACAAATTTGGGTAGACTCTGATCTTTGCAATCAAAGCAACTGTGACCAGGGAATGAGACAAGGATTCCTACTCTAACCACTTCTTTCAGTATTATCATGGAAGTCCTCACCAGTGCAATAAGACAGGAAAAAAACAATTAGAAGGTGTGATGGTTGGAAAGAAAGAGCTAAAACTATCTTTATTCACAGATGGCAGGGTTATGTGCATGGAGAACCCACAGGAATATACAAACAGAACTGACAAGTGAACTTATCAAGGTCACAGGATACTGGGTGAACATGTGAAGATTAACTGTATTTATGCATACTACCAGTAAATAATTGAAAAACAAGACTACAAAACACTGTCATTTAAAATAGGATCAAAACCATTCAATGCATAGGAACAAATATAATTAAAATGTTTAAATTTTATAGTTCTGTACTAAAAACTATAAAATCATTGCTGGATTAATTTAAGGAATATCTAAATAAATGGAAAATTAGGGCATATTCACAGATTAGCATCTGAAACGGTTCAGTTTTTGGGTGTTAATGATCTCCAAATTTATCCATAGAGACAATGCGATCTTAACCAAGTTATAACCAAGCATACCGAAAGTAACCAAGCACTTTTTTTTGGAATATAAATTGACAAACTGATTTCTAAAATTTGTATGGAAATGCAAAGTACTTAAAATAGCCAAGACAATCTTAAAAAAAAAAAACTAAGTAGAAGGGTTTACTCTACCAGATTTTAAGACTTAGCATAAAGCTACAGTATTTAAGACAGTGTAATATTGGCATAAGGAAAGACAATTAGATCAATGAAACAGAATCAAAGCCCAGAAAAGACCCATGTGTCTGCCATCAGTGGATTTTTTGGAGAAACAAAATCAAAACCAAACAAAACACCAATGCAATTCATTAGGGGAACAGAAGGTCTTTTTAATAAATGATGCCAGAGCAACTGGATATCCATACGGACTATAGACCTAAAAGTGAAAGCTAAAAGCATAAAACATAAGAAAAACATAGGAGAATATATTTGACTTTGATGTTGTCAAGTCTTTCCTAGAATGGAAAAGGACAAACAATAAAAAATTGATAAGACAGTCCTCATCAAAATTTCTCCTCATTAAAAGGCAGGAGAACTAAAAGACAAGCCACAGACTAGCAGAACATATTTGCAATACATTTATCTGACCAAGGGCTTGGAGTCAGGATATATAAAGAATCTTATAAATTAATAATTTAAAAATGGGCAAAAGACTTGAGCAAGAACTTCATAGAAGATAATATATGAATGGCCAATAAACATGAAAATGTGTGCAACATCATGAGTCATCAGGGAAATACAAATTAAAACCACCGTGAGAGACCTCAAAGTATCAGCATGGATGCCATTACAAAGACTGACAATTGCAAGCACTGGTGATCTAGAGTAACTGGAACTTTGATATCTTGCTGATAGGAGTGTAAAATAGTCAATAATTTTGAGAAATATGTATTTGGCTGTTTTGAATAATGTTAAAATAGGGGTTTATTGAAGACCCAATGCTTCCACTCCTGGTTATACACCCTGGAGAAGTCAGTGCATACATCCACAAAAAGACTTGTCTAATAACATTCATAGCAACTTTATAATAGTCAAAAACTGGAAACAGTCCAAAATTTCATCAACCAAAGGATGGATAATAAATTGTGGTAATGCTTCTCAGCAATAAAGAACAATCTGATACACATATGTTGATGAATTTCAAATATTATGTTGAACAAAGTATGAGACACCATAGACAACACATTACGTGACCCCATTTTATGATGTTCCAGAGCCAGGAAAATTAATCTAATGGTGACAGAAGTCGAAAGTTGGTTCTGTCTGAGAGGGTTGGGTATTGACAAGAAAAGGGTCTTAGCCTCATGGCTAATGTTCTAGATCTTGGTCTGGTTGATGGTTGAGTGTATATGTACGTAAAAGTTCATTGCTATGGACTGAATTACACCCTCCTCCCAACAAACTCATCTGTTAAAGTACTAACCCCACAATATAATGGTGTTTGGAGATGGGGCCTTTGGGAGGTAATTAGGTTTAGATGAGGTCATGGGGTGGGGGGGAGAAAAGAAAAAGACTAGAGCTCACATTCTCTTTCTGTCCACTGTGTGGGGACACAGCAGGAGGGTGGCTGTCTGCAAGCCAGGACGAGAGCCCTCCCAGAACCTGACCATGCTGACACCTTAACCTAGAACTTCCGGCCTCTAGAACTGTGAGAAACCGATTTCTGTTGTTTAAGCACCCAGTCTGTGGTATTTGTTATAGCAGCCCAAGCCAACTAATACATTCATTAAGGTTTGTACATTTTGCTATAATGTAAAATTTCCTTCAGTTGAGTACTACTAAAATTGCCTTTATGAAAGCACTGGCTATAGTGACAGTTACATAAAGAGGGGTAAAACATTTAGGGCCCAGCATGAGATAACACTAGTCCTTCAGTTGCTTCCAGTCTTTATACAACATAGGGTTCTTTCCCTTTTCTTTTTTCCTTTGTCAAACTTAGATCATGAAACTTGCATTTACATGCACAAATCAGCAAGGAGGCAGAGAGTTGTTTCCCTGGCTTAGAGCAAAGGGGGCTTCAACAGGAATGGATGGCTAATGGCATTGGGAAAGTGACCATGGAAACTGAATCAGAGATGCTCTGTGTCAACCATGGCACTTTATATGAGGGACACAGTGTACAAAGATAAGGATACAGAGATGTGGGCAAGAGCAGGGATTAAATTACTTTAATAAGATCTGAGTCTCTGATTGCAAGATGCTAGTGAATGAGGAGTGAGCAGAAGAGAATGGACAGCCCATACTAGTGGTACCCCAGGCATCTCACATCAAACAAACAGTGATGGGGTAGCTCCTTAACTCTCAAATGGTAATGTTTCCAGGAGAAACTCTAATTTTGCATTTCATCTATGAAAGCAGTAACTCAAAACCCTGGGAGCCCAACAGCTCATCAGGAAAGCTTTTCCATAGCAGGTCCATTGTGGCTTACCTGGCCATAAATGTCCAGCTCAGAAAATGTAATAGAAACATCACAGTGGGATGACCTAGAGACTGACCTAGAGATACTCTCCAAAACCTCTGTCCTCACTAAGCCAAGACAGAAGCAAGCACAGGTAGCTTCTTCAGTAAAGCTGGACTCTGTGGGGAGCAGACAGGAGCGGGTACCATCTTTCCCTCAATTCCTTGCTTCAGTGTACTCTGTGGGTCAGCACCACCTGCCCAGCCTTGGGGTAAATCTCAGGTAGACCATGTGCAAAGCTTTTCCGGTCACTCTTGTGTTATAAATGGTCTCTTTTGCTGGGTATAAAAAGTGCACCTCAGAGCTGTTTCAGAACTCCAACTCCCTCTCCCCGTCCAGGCTCCCCACAACTGGGAAGTCTCTACTTTGTGCTCTGTCTTCTCCCTGTCCCCCCACCTGCACTTTGGGCCCTCAGAGTGGGGCACTTGTCGGGGCTCCTCAGAGATACCTTGCCGGGGGTCTCTGACTGCAGTTCCTGGGCATGTGCAAAGCTCTCAAGTTTTGCACTCATGACTCCCCAAGTTTCATAGCCACTTTCTGCCAAGGTTCACCTGGCCCCTAGCAGGAAGACTTTTGGGTAGAGTCCTTTTCAAAGTGGTTCCTAGCTGGTTCCTTTTCTTGGGGTCCACACTTGGCTCCAAGAAAACATACACTTCAGCCTTGTTTTGGTGTAGATGCCCCTGCCTTCATGCTCAGCCCTCTCCCCTCACCTCCCGTACAGGCCATCAACCAGCACCTCTACACGGTCCCAGTCCCTGCACCCCCCACCATGGCCAGATCTTAGAGATTTCCCAGTGGATCTCTTGAAGCTCCCCTCACTAGGGTTAGGGTGAGGAGTGTGATGATTAATTTGATGTGTCAACTTGGCTGGGCTGTGATGCACAGATATTCGGTCAAACATTATTCTGGATGTTTCTGTGAAGGTGTGTTTTGCATGAGATTAACACTCAGATCAGTGGACTCTGCGTAAAGAAGATGACCCTTTATAACATGAGTGGGCTTCCTCCAAACAGCTGAATGTGTTAATGGAACAGAAGACTAATCTCACCTGAGCCAAAAGGAGTTGTGCCGGCAGATGGCCTTTGGACCTAGATGACAACTCCTCCCTGAGGCCCCAGCTGCTGGCCCGCCCTACAGGTTTTGGGCTCACCAAACCTCCCCGACTGTGTGAGCCAGTCCCTTAAAAGTAATGTCTCTCTCTCTCTCTTTTTTCCACATCCTGTTGGTTCTATTTTCCTGGGAAATCCCAACAAATACGGGGGGAGCCCCCTGTGGGGAGAAGAGGACAACTCAGAATGCCCTGACAATTCCCTCCAAGTGAAACCTGGCAGCCAGACTCCTCACCCGCCCTCTCTTTTATTGAATATTAAACTAGGACGACATTGATGTGCTGACTGGGGAAATAGCCGTTGTCCTGAACTAGGTAGGTTTCAAGACGGCATATAGATAAGATCCCATTTTTATGAAGAGAAAATACGCATAAACATATAACAGAAAGATTTGAAATAGTTACAACAGATAAGAACCTCTGGGTGGTGGCGACACAGTGATTTTTTTCTTCTCGAGATATTCCGTGAATATAATATCTATACTTTTCTAGTTTTGTGACAGGAGAGTAACTATAGGGCTTCAAAAAAAAAAAAAGGAAATTGCAGAGATTTTAAAAACATGAACAAGTAAAAAATTTACTATTTTTTAAAAAACATGACACCCTTGTAGCTGCATCAAGACTGTGACCTCTTTTCACAACCCGGCCCCTCATGACCCGTCCCCTGTCTCTCACCTCGTTCTCCTGGCTCCTGGGTCCCTCCGAGTTGATGTTCTGCTCTGGGGGAAATTCAAAGTTGAGGGCTCATTTACAGATTTCCCATTTTCCAGTGTACCTGTGATGTGGGAAATGTAGGGAGTTAGGAAATGTGCATCTCCTCTTTCCAGACAGTTCCCTCTTTGGCTGGGACACCACCGCCCTGAGAGGGGAGGAAAGTGGGGTGGAGAGGGCGGGGTTCTTCCTCTCATGCCCCGAAGGGGACTTGGCCCCTCCTGGTGCTGTATTCAGTGACATGGAATGCCGTCTCCATGAAAATCGTAATGATGGTCCAAGAAACTTCACATCCTTGCACACACCCATGCACACCTACATACATGCACACATAGTAGAAAAAAGGATATCAGAAATGAGCTTGCAAACTTGGGTACAAACCTGGTTAATATCTTAGAGGACAATAAAACCATAACCACTAGTGTTATTTCTACTGGACAAAAGTCATTTGCAACTTAGCAGTCTTTCAACATCTAACTTTACAACATCAGAGTCCTAACAGATAGTAAATATGTTACGTCCCCTAGAATGTCAGATCAGCTGGAGGTGGGGTTGTTATTCACTGTTCTAGTGTGACTTTGGAAGGGCACCCCTTAGCAGATGACATGGGGACTGTCCTCACTTTCCAGACCCAAATCACAAACCGTGAGCCCAGAGCGCCAGCCTTCTTTCCTGTTAGGGAGTGTACTGGAGAAGCCCGGTGCCGGGTGGCCTGTTCTGTCTGCTCCTCTGCAAGGCAGAGCACAGTATTGTCTCCCTGGACCCAGGATCAGGGGGTGCTGGACTGGTAAGTTGCAAAGGATTTTTGTCCAGTAGAACTTACGGCTCTTTTCCTATCAAACCTCTGTCCCTCTCCAGCCTCATCTCAGACACAGCCCCACACCCACCTTTTCTCCTGCTCAGAATGACCCCCACCCCAACCCTGGGCAGCTGTATCTGCTCTTCTCTGTGTTTGCAATGCTCTAACCCTTCGAGGTCCAACAGGGTAGCCACAAGCCATGTGTGGCTGTTAGACACTTGAAATGTGGCTCATATGACTGAAGAAGTAAATTCTTAATTTTTTAAACTTAATTTAAGTTTAAATATAAAAACTGACTGTCAGTTTTGTTATTGGAGAGCTTTCGAAGATATTTGGAGTAATCTGGGGATTGTTTCTACTTGTAATTAACTTTTCTGGCTGTATGTTTAATAACTTTTCTGGCTGTAAATCTACTTCTTTGTACATTTTATGAAAGCTAAATCCAGATCAAGAATTTCCAAAGAAAATTCAGTATGTAAATTGAGAGGGACTGTAAGTATAAAATACTCAACAGATTTCAAAGGCAGTACAGAAAAACGTAAAATATCTTATTACTAATTTTATATTGATACATGATAAAGTGATATTTTGGATATATTGGATTAAATAAAATGCATTGTTAAAATTTTATCCGTTTCTTTTTACTTTTTAATGTGGTCTCTGGAAAATTTAAAATAACATATGTGCTTGCATTATATTTCTGTTGGACAGAGCTGCTCTAACCGTCTTCTCTTTCCGCACAGGCTTTGGGACTAGAAGGATCTGAACTCTACTTCAAGCCATACCACTCACTAGCTGTATGATTTGGGGTAAGTGACTCAATCTCTCTGTGCCTTGGTCATTTTTTAAATCTGTAAAATGGGTGTGGTGAGAACAGCCTTGAAATGCCTCCTGCCTCAGCCGCTGAGTACCTGCAAGTGCTCAGCCATGTTAACTGCCTTTCTCTCTGGCCGCGTCCCTGCACATCCTTCAGCGCTCATCCAATATTCCATCTTCTTTAGGGGAGCTTTCCTAACCCTGCCAGAAGGGTCTAGTTCTTTGCCTTTACCCCTCTTATAAACCTTGACACGTTTGTGATAAAGTGGCATCGTTCCAACATTGTGGCTTTCTCAAGGGCAGAGATTCCTACTTTCTTTGTACGTGGGTGTGTGCCTTTAACTCTTATGGAGAATTTCAAGCATACACAAATGTTGAGAGAGCGATATGATGTACCAGCCACCCCTCTCCCACGATGACAGCATTTCCATCGTATTTCTCTGACTCCGCGCGGTACTCAGCACAAAGTTCTGTTAGTGTTTGTGGCAGATGGCAAACAACCACGCTCTTTGCTGCTCCTCCCATCAAACAGTGGAGTCGATTTCTCCGCCTGCTTTTAACTGGACTGGCCCCGTGAGCATCTTGGACCCATAGAATGTGGTAGAAGTCACTGTGCCGGCTCTGAGCCCAGGTCTCAGGAGACCTGGTGGCTTCTGAATCTGCCCTCTGGGAGCCCTGCTGCTGTGCGGACAAGCCCGAGCTGGCCTGCTGGAGGATAGGCGACCGTGTGGAGCAGAGCCCACCAGTCCCAGCGGAGGCCCCTGTGCACCCAGCAGCTCACTTGCCGTCAGAGAGGCCATCCTCGACCTTCCACCCCAATGAGCCATTAGCTTACTGCAGAGGTCAGACAAGGTGGCCCAGACAGAGGAGCCACCCAGTCAACCCCAGCATCGTGAGAAAGAATAAATATCATTTGTCTCTGTTTCAAGGGGGATTTAAACGTGCAGAAGGCTACCTGATAGAATGCAATGAAAGTTTTGGAATGAGTTAATGCCACCCCTCCATGCACTCAGGTAGCACCCTACGTGTCCGGGGGCATCTGCTGTACCCCAGGGCTAAGGAAACTATCCCACACTTCACAACCCCAGCATGGTACTCACTCAGCCATGAGGACAAGTCACAAGGGAAGGAGGACTCGGCTCTAACATACTCCCCCCTACATTTGTAAACTTTTCTGCACCTTATTCTGCTCAACAAATATTCTTTGAGCAGATAAAATGGGCTAGAACCTGGTTCAAAAGATTAAGGGGTCCTGCTGCCGAGCTGTTCCCAAGGTGTTAGTTTCATGGATTTCCAGGGCAGCAGAAACTCTGACCATCACAGTGACAGTGAGAGGACAGGATAGAACCTCAGCCCTCTGGAAACTCATGTTCCCAGATATCCTTAAACGTGGACAGCTCCAAGCCTCCCTTCTAGAATGCATGTAGTTTGGGGGTTATGTTGAGTCCTGGAACAGGATGGTTCTTTTAAGTAGAAGCCAGCCTTCTTACCATTTGGGTTAACACTTTCTCCTGAAGTATCCACATCGTCTTATTGGGGGAGTTCGAATTCTTTAGATAATGGCTTCATAATGTTCCACCTTATTGGACCCGTCCTTGGTAATTTTCAGTATCTTTTATCCTTTCATTTAATTAGGGCCTTTCAGCCCCATTGACCCCAACTGGATGTCAAGGAGCAGCCGCTGTGGCAGCTGTCCCTGGTACTGACCTGCCTGGTGGCCGGCGTTCCGTTTGGAAGTGCCTCTGGTTTTGCCTTTGCTTCTGTGTCTTACGGTGCGGTTGAAGATGGAGTTTCTCTGGATTGAGATGTAGTAGCCGGGTTCTTTGTCTTGCGTCTCCTGGTCAGCTTGGGGTGTCTTTTCATCTTCTGAGAGGAGCTCAGGTCTCACACAGGCCGACTCATGCACTGATTTCTTCCCAGGCTTTTCCAAATCGTCAGATTCCCTGGTCTCCATGGAGACAAGTTTGATTCTCAACAGAATGACTGGAGATCAGTAACCTCTCCCAAACTCCCCTGGTTTTGAGTGCTTTAGGACAGAAAGAGAACAATTTCCAGTCAGTGTCAGCAGGCTAAATATGCCGTTCAGAGTATGGAATTCCATTCACATTCAGATTTCATGAAATTCAGAATAATCTGTGCATCCTGGCGACCACATCTTTGTCAACGAAAATTACAGTTTAACCACTGCAATTTGGATGCATTCATGTATCATTTTATAATTGAGGTTTGTTAATTCTATTCATAGGCTGCACTTTGGGGGAAAATGCTTAAAGTGGCTCATGTAACTAGCTTTCAAGTAAACATCTGCTGAATAACACAAGAGAGAGTAGCAAACACAGTGAGGGGAACTCTAGAAAACCAAAGCAAGGGAAAGGAAGATGTGTGGGCACAAATGGTCGTGGGAAGAACAAGAAAGGCTATTGGAGTGAAAGGTTGCGTGACAGTAAACTTGGAGATGGGAAGTCTAGAACCCTGGCAGGACAAACCTTCTGCCGTCCACTTGTGGCCAAGCCTGGTTGGTATATTAGTGGCCCCTCTGACTGGACGATGTAATGTGACAGCTGTGGGAGTGACAAGCCCTCCCGCATCCCATAGCTACCCAACTGGCTGGAGACAAAGAATGGTTAGCTCCTTCCAGGGTGACCACAGAAGACAGAATCAGAACCGGGACGATTTTCATCTGAAAAAGAGGTGTATTAGGAATACACCAGGACTGCCAGCACACCCCCTTCCCTCCCAGCTCAGGCCTTCTTTTAGGGTGGCAGGTCTCAGAGTGGAGTGGGACCACGTGCATCTTTGAGGGAAGTGTAAGCTGGTAGGACAGCAGGCTGGACCAGGAAGCCAAGCTAGGAATTCTCTATGGCTCCCTTACCCATCCGAGGCTTCAGAACCTGGGGTCCTGTGGGTACTGTGGAAGTTTAAGGGGTATATAAATCGTGTGTGTGTGTATGTGTATATACAGTTTTCTTGATTATATATCCAGAACCTCTATCATGTTCTCAACGGGTTTAGAGATTCAGGAAAGCTTAAGAACCATCTTTTCTGTCTCTTTTTTTCTGTAAAACAGAAAGAATGGGAGCTTGGACTTGAGAGCTCACTCCCTTTCCCGTTGCACTTTTCTACTTACAGCCAGATGCCTTGGCTACCACAGGCCCTGCCCTTGGAGTTCCCTGTGGGTGGGTTCCCAAATTCTTCTCCTCCCCCTACCCTAGTCCAAACACATGCCATGATTGCAGGACAGTTGGTCAGGTGATCTTAGAATCTTCAGGAGGCGTGTGGGCTTCTCACAGCCCCAGGCAGAGAATAGCCTTGTTTATCTAAGGCAGGAATTAGGACTTTCTGCTTAGGAGAGCTTTGAGGATCCAGGACCATTCTGGTTCTTAGAACCAGCTACCTGATGACTCAGAACAGGAGGTTCACCCTGGGATCCCGCCTCCTTTCCTGCCTGCCCACAGGCCTGGTGATATTTAATGTCCTAGCCAAGAGAACCAAGTGTAAAGGTGTTAGAGATTGAGAAGTGTTCAGGGGAGGTCCTGCCTCGAGGCAGCTTGGTTGGAGGCAGGGGTGATGCTGGGTTTGTGGGGGCCTGGGGAGCTCCTTCACTGTCATGGTCAGCTGCGTGACTTCAGCCAAACCCTTGTAGTCCCAGCATCCATGTCCTGTTCTGTAAATGTTGGGCTGCGCACTGTGGGGTCCCATCCTGCTGGCCAGTCCAGACGTCCCTTGGAGAGTAAGGCTGCAATTTTTAGTGGCCATAGAGTAGAGTGTAGTGGCTAAGAGGTCACATTTAAGTGCTGGACAATTAATAGGACACCCCTCCCAGGAGTACCTGGGATGGCCTTGCTTATTACAAACATGGCAAGGAACCCATAGCTGTTGGGCAACATGGGTGATTTTCGCTGACAGCACATTTGACCTGAGTCAGCAAGGGAATGTGGTTACAACTAAAGCTAAATTGTTCTTGAACCACATGGTGGAACAAGAGAGAATGGGAGGGTTCTGTCCTGGCCAGTTGAGTGGGGGACCCCTGCCTATGCTCTGTTGAGAACCTGCCCACCCAAAAAGGGACTGGGTGAGCGAGCAGAGAAGACCCAGGAGGGACAAGGTCAAGGTTGTCTCACATCAGCTCTCTGGGACCTGGGATAGGATGGGGTGGAGTTAGGACTATGGGCAAAGACAGATTTCAGCTTTGAACTTCAGAGCTGTCCAAAGGTGGCATGGCTGCTTTGGGGGGCAGTGGATTCCCCATCATTGGAGGTGTCCAGACGGAGGCTGTTGAGATTTTAGGATTTAGCAACTCTAACTGATGCCTCGACATCTCCTCTTCTCTTTTCCCTTGCCCTCTGTGCCTCCCAGCTGGGACCAGACTCTGATACTGAGGCTGATCTCAGCTTAGAATTGATCTGGGGGCAATAAGTTGGCAGGGGTTCTCTGGAGGGGGGCGGGTCAGGTAATACAGGAGTTAATTGGGTGTTGGGCCAGTCTATGGAGGTCTCTGAACAGGGTCGTGGAGTTCCTACCACATCCTTGATGACTGTGAATGAGGAGGTAGCAGGATCCTGTAAGCTCTGGGCTGGCTGAGCTGGGAAGTCTGAGGCCAGAGGGCAGGTATCACCAGGTATCACCCAAGTGTGGCAGGTGAACACAGAGACCAGGGTGGGGCAGTGTTGGCAGAGGGAAGATGTCAGAGAGGAATGACAGGATCGGTGACTCCAGGTACTTTTGGGAGGAGCAGGGGGAGGGCCATCCCCAGGGCAATGGTGGCCCAGGGTGCCTGGGTGGGCCAGTGTCACTCTCTGCCTGTCAGGGAAGTGGGAGTGAAGCTAGCTTGGGCTTGGAGCACACTGGTTTCAGGGATGTGCAGTTGAAGACCTCCCAGGAGGAGAGTCTGCAGTTGGAAATCCTTGACTGAGTCTGACTGTTATGAGCAGGGCATCCCCTGCTCTGACCATGGGGTATCTTGATGAAGGCCCCCATGTCATAGCCCTAAACAGGGTGATTTATTATCATTACCATCACCATGATTATTTTAGGCTGCTTTAAAAAAATTGAGGTATGATTTACATACAGTAGAATGTACCTTTGTTAAATGTGTGCTTCTGAGTTTAGCTGTGATGTGACAACAGGAAGGGCTTGAATGTGCTGTCCCAGGGGCAGGTGGGTCCCCGTGGGAGATGGCGCCTCTAAGAGGGAGGCAGACCTGGCTCATCCCAGCTCACCTGCATCATTTCATTCCTGGTCCTAGGATTGGTACCTTAAACCCCTCCTAGGTAAATGGCAGTGTTTGCTTTGGGCTGTGACCAACAAAGGCACCTTTTCTCTTTTCTTTTTTTCCATTCCCTACCCTCCTCCCAGCAAAAGGGGAAAGCTAGTGAGGAAGATTTTGGGTAGCAGAGGGAAAACGTGAAGTTTCTGGCTTGGTGGAAAAGGCCCAGCGAGGAAAGGAGCAGGGGGAGCTGCCCCAGGGGCTGCTCTGCTGTCAGGATAACTTTGGCTGCGAGACACACAAGTGTAACATGTGATGGTTGTAGAAAGTGGAAAACACAGCCGACCACAAGGAAGACAGCTGTTGCCCTGCCCATGGAGATGCCGCTGGGAAGGTTCTGCTGTTCTCAGCAGAAACAGAGGAGAGGAAGGGAATGGGAGACCCACAGAGAGAAGGCTCCTAGGAGAACCGGAAGTAAAAAAAAATACAATAAAAACCTTTTACTTCAGATTTACAGGAGAGTTGCTGCTAATGGAATTTTTAAAGCAACTTTTAAAGGAACCAAAGAGCTCTGAGTACAGTATTAAGTAGTTCATTATTATTTTAACAAATGTGAAATGCTTCGCGAATCTGCGTGTCATCCCTGCTCAGGGGCTGTGGTAATCTTCTCTGTGCTGTTCCGATTTTAGTATATGTGCTGCCGAAGCAAGTGCTTAAGGAGTTTATTGTTTGGAGGTTTTCACCATTTCTGCACATAGTCGATGTTCAGCGTAAGCAGGCAACAAGGATTTGGGAGTGAAGGTCAGGGTGAGTTGTCAGGGAGGACTGAGATCCTCCAGCAATATCGCCACTTGCTGGAGAGACAGGGGTCGCCAGTCATGGAACTTAAACAGCCAGGAATAGAGGCTTCCCCCACTGCTTGATGTCTGTTCCTTGTGCTCTTTCCCGCTCTCTTTCTGGCATGTGTGAGGAGTTTGGGAATTTGTCCTTTATTAGCAGAAGACCAGAGTGAAATCTTGGGTGAGATGAAAGCTTAAGTTAACCCTGGATCCCAACTTCTTACGAAAAGACCAGAGCAAACCTACAAAGGAAGACAGCCACCCGACAAGGGAGGCTAAAATTAAGAATCAAATTTATGGCGGGACTAGCAGGCTCTTCCACTGAAAATGCTAATTAAGATTAAGAAGCATCACTGATGACTGGCTTGTGCTTTGAAGTTCTTTAAAAAAAACTATGTACACAGTTCATAAGTCAAAAGCAAAATTAGAAGATAAAGATTATAAAGGAGAAACATAAAACAAAGCGATGGAAACGTCATAGGATTTTTCCTGTTGTTCTGTAATTGCTCCTGAGGCCAAACACGGCTAGTTCTATTCAAATTTCTGCTGCAGCCTGGGTTAGCCAGGAGCCACCCCAGGGGATTACTGAAGGAGCTGTGCCTCTTCCCTGCACCCCACCTTGATAAAAGAAGAGGAAAAGAGGGGAAGAACCTGGCCTTTTGGGGTGCCATATTTCATACAAAGAGGAGAGTGGTTCTGAGCGAGCCTTGGAAAAACCCAGGATTCCTGCAGGAAGAGGAGGCTCCCAGCCAGGAGTCACAGGGTTGTGGGACCCATAGGCCGGCTCCAGAGTCTCCTGGGAGAGGGTCCTGGGAGCCTAGGGTGATGGCACCTTATCCTTTGTCACCCCACCCATGCTTCGTAAGGTTTGGGGATTTGCTGAACATGGGACTGGAGGTGGCTTTAAATCAGAGGATTTCTGAAGGCAAGACCTGCTGAGGGACCTCACACTGTTGGACTTGAGGCGGCTGTGGCCTGGTGCGTCTTAGATGGGGATGAGGCATGCCCGCTCATCTCTGTTGGCCACGGCCTTTGGAGAATCCCTTGCAGAAGACCCCAGATTTCCCCAAGGTTCCTTAGAGCCCAGAGGGCAGCGAGATGGTACAGATGAACACTAGCCCAAGACAACCTCGAATACTCCATTAGTGAAGCATCAGAGCCAGGCTGAACCAGAGGGATGCCTCCTGCCATGGACACGCAGCCAGTCTTAGAAGGAGACCTCGACTTGCCAATCCCTGCTGCCTCCTGCACCCCCGAGGAAGGGAGGAGGGTGAGCAGGGGTCTCCAGGTCTCGTCTTCCACCCCCCAAATAGTCAAGCCTGTGCTAGAGGAAGGGGAGAGGGGGAAATGTGCATAGTGTTTGGACATGGCTGAAATGGGCAAAAGATACAGGTAGTTCACAGAAAAGGAAATACAAATCACTCGTGAAAACCTGTGGAAGATTTTCAGCCTCATGTCTCAGAAGAGGAGAGGAAACCCAAACCGCCCTGAGATCCCTTTTTACACTTATTATATCAGCAACAAATCAGAACTTTGAAAAGCAGTCAGTGAAGCCAAGGGGCAGCGGGCAGCCCTCCATCATCACTGGTAGGATTTTGCATGGATTCGACCCCCAAGGGGACAGTTTGGCAACCTCTGTCAGAGTCAAAAGCAAGTTTGCTCTAGCCCAGCAATCCCACCCGCAGGAGTTTGGCCCATGGATCTGCTTGCACACGTGGGGAGTGGCCTGCGTGCAGATGACCCCTGCAGCATTGTCTGGGAGCAAGTGGTGGAAGACGCTGTGATTTCTATCGATCAGGAACTGTTCACACCAATTAGAAAAGTCTAAACATTTCTTCTATGGGCCGGGCATTCAGTTCTTTCAGAGATACACTGCCCTTTCCTGTTGTCTGACCATATAAACCAAACATCTCTCTTAACCTCTCTTCACTGATGGCTTCAGGTCTGTCGATCTTATTCCCAAGAATCAGTATAGGCACATTAGCAGTAGTTTCATCTGTCATTAGCAAATCAAGTTCTTCTTTTGAGTCTAACAGCCTTTCATGGTCTGCACAATCCACCAGAAATACAATGCCATTGATAGCAGGAGGGTAGTTTTTCCACATTCTTTGAGCTTGAACATGCCCACCCGGATCGAAAGTTGTAAAGGTTATGCCGGCAATGGTTAGTTCTTCTGAAGTGGGATGTAACATCAGGACATGTCATCCAAGTCTGTCATCTTAGCATGTGTAGTAATGTTGTTTCTCCTGCATTATCCAATCCAAGAAATACCAATTTACCAGTTTCCTTATGCAATCCTAAAAAACTGTAGTGCACTACTGAAACCACTGTAAATCCAGTCAAATGTGAAGGACACATCCAAATCTTATGGGATCTGCATTTGGAGAGAACGCAATTCCTTGCTTAGCGTTGGCCCTACTCACTCGGACACCAAACTGCAAAGCGCCAAGGCTGCCGTGGCCCTCGAAAAGTCTAAACATTTCTATCAATGGAGTGAGATGCTGTTATAAGAGCAAGAGAGGAAGCTCTGCATACTGATCAAGAAACAATCCTAGGATATCCCAAGAAAACAAAACAAGGGCATAAGAGGATTATGTTACCATCAGTGGAAAAGGGGGAAATATATTCAAATTAATTTGGATGTGCCTAAAAACTTCTGGAAGGAGTTACAAAAAATTAGGATCAAAGGTTACATATATACATATTTTTATTATAGGAAGAAGTCTGGGCAGATGGCAAATAGAACTGGGAGGGAAACAGACTTCAAAGTACATACATTTTATAAATTTTTTTATTTTTAAAGGTTATTTTAATATCTTGACCTATTCAAAAATTAAATAGATAAATCTTTTGAGAAAAGAATGAATAGGAACATAATCTTAAATATAAAAATGAATCACTTTTAAGAACTGAAAGAGACAAAGGAAGTTATGGGACCTGACCAAGAGGCCACCAGGAGCCCTGCTACGCAGCAGAGTAGAGAGTTGGAACAGAAGGAAACTGGTAGCCTTCACAGGGGAAAACAAAGCTGTTTTATGTTTATACCTTCAAACGTTGAGATTTCCAAAAAAAATCAGATACAGAATAAGAATGAACTGTTAAATGGGATGTTTTCATTCCCTAATTAAAACATTCTCAGAGTAATTTAATAAAACAGGAAATTTCATAATCATTAGGCAGTCGTAACACAACATAGCACAACAGTGGGTTAGTGACAAAATTAAACATGAATCTCCAAGGAAAGACCTTTAAAAATAAGACTAGAAGGAAAATCATTGTGAGAAAGGGTGCTGTGCACATCACAAGTGCAGCAATGCTGCAGAGTCAGAGCAGGCTCCTGCTCTCATGGTCATCGGCGTGTTTCTTGGGGGTTTAGCCAAAGTAATGAGACGTAACACAAATGTCAGAAAAGAAGATGAAATATTCATAATTTGCAGGTGATTTGTATGCCTGGAAAGCCCAAAGAACCAACGGAAAGTAGGGGAATTACAAAGAATTTGGTCCAGGGCCAGGATAGGCTAGATTCACTACAAGTCAACAATACCAAAGCAGAGAGCTTCAAATTGTAGTAGAAACAAAACCAAGAAACGCAAGAGAATTGTATTAATAGATACAAAGAACTTATGTAAAGGAAAACCTTGAGAGGTGGGGGGAGACTTGCATCTTTAGGGAAGCATGGGTTGTTATTGGATAGGAAAATGGAAAATTAAAAATATGTTATTTCTTACCACGTTAATACATAGTTTTAATGCCATTCCAGCTAAAATATTCCGATTAAACCTAACTGGAATATTTTGATAAAATGATTATGAAGTTCATCTTCAGGATAAGCGAAATTATCTTAAACTTTTTGAGAAATTCAGGTAATGAAGAGTCTACTTCTTCTAAGTGTCATAAAATGCTACAGTAATAAAAGGAATGTGGCACATCCTTTACAATCAGTAAAACAGAATGGCCAGCCCAGAAGTGAATATAGAAGAGGGATCACAAACATAAAAAATGGAGAGATTACAAAACTAGACAAAAACATCACAAGAAAATATAGATTAATATCTCTTATTAATATAGATGAAAAAGACCTCAACAGAAGAGTAGTAAACTGATATATAAAAAGTATTATGCATTATAACCAAGTAGAATTTATCCCAAGAATGCAAGTTTGCTTTAACATGCAACAATCAATATAATGCACCAAACCAATGAAATAAAGGTCAAAGCTATATGATAATCTCCATACATCTGGCATCAATTAACATTTGACAAAATCCAGCACTCCTTCATAATAACATTCAACAAACCAGATAAACGAGAAAACGTCCTCAACTTGATAAAGGGTATCTATGAAAACCCCACAGCTAATGTTATACTTAATTGTGAAAGACTCGATGTCTTCTTATAAATCAGGAAGAAGATAAGGATACCCACTCTCTCCACTACTATTCAACATTGTCGTGGAGGTTCTGTACGGCACAGGGAACTATAGTCAATATCTTGTAATAACCTTTAATGAAAAAGAATATGAAAATGAATATATGTGTGTATATGCATGACTGGGACATTGTGCTGTACACTAGAAATTGACATATTGTAACTGTACTTCAATAAAAAACAAACAAACAAAACATTGTAATGGAGGCTCTAGCTAGGGCAATTAGTCAAGAAAAATAAAAGATACTCAGATTGGAAAGGAAGGAGTAAAACTATTTTCAGGTGACATGACCTGGTATTTAGAAAATCCTAAGGATTCCTCTAAAAAAAAAAGTGTTGGAAATAAACAAGTTCAGCAAGGTTTCATGGTATAAGATCAATATGCAAAAATTAATTGTATTTTTATATAGTAGGAATGAACAAAACCAGAAATGAAGCTAAG